TGGTTTTTTTAAATTCTGTTTCGCAATGTATGATCTGGTAATGTAAATGTCACACTATGAACCTCCAGTATTGCAGCCTAACGGGTATCCACTGGACATATTTTCGCACCACACACCAGCTTTTGAAACAATCCAAAACGGAGCCTCACAATGAAATATTATTTTCAAATAAACCACAAATGCCTATGAGTGACTCCTGTTTGATATTTCCCAGGTTTGCAGCATTGCTAAGTGCTAATACTGCTGGCATCGTGACTTGGGGCATGATCCCTGGCTACATGGCATATACAGGTTTATGGCTTTTGATTAGCGCCCCTTGAACAAAGACACTGACAAAGGGGAACCGCCAACATACGGCTGGATAGCTCAGTTGGTAGAGCACCGGAATGACACTCCGGAGGTCCCACATTCAAACCCTGTTCCAGTTTTTACTTTGTACAACTTAAAAAATGATGTAGAATTACCATTATTTGAGTGCAGTGGTACTTCCCTCACCTTCCACCTGTATGAATCAGATTCACATCCTACTCAGGCCGAATGGTTCATTGAGTTTTCAATCCCTGCCTGTGGTTTTCCAAGGAAGGTCAAACTGAGGCTTTTCCTCCTACCTCTGAAACTGAACATTTCTTTAAAAATCTTCTCTCTTAATAAAGGTATGTACCGTAGGATCATTTGACATTTTAGGAAACATACCTATCGATTTAATGACAGAAACCTTACTCAATGTGAGGACAGGATTCAAAGTGAAGATAGGACGAGTGCCTTAAAAAAAAAAAAAATTTCCTGCTCAAATTCGTGAGAAATACATTCAAGTTTGTATATGAACATACATACTCGAGCGTTTTTGATCATTTTCATGGCATTCAATTTCATATATACTACAGACTTTCAAATTTGTTTGCGTCATTCACCTAATTGTCATTCAATTTAGCACAACTTGATTTAATGAAGTTTCCACCTTCAATTGTTATTTTCCTTAGTTTCCATTTAATTACAATCAATTTAGCACTTTGAGCATTCAAAATAATTACATGCATTTCAAATGGACGAAAAGCTACCGAAAGTAACATTGAAACAAAAGGCTTAATTAGGACAGCTGCACTTTTCATCTTTAGTTTCTTTTTTATTTTCTTTGGCATCTTTTCTTACCTTCTGGTCTTTTTCTTTCACTTTTCTATGATTGTTCTCGTAAAAAAAATGGTGTAAGTGATGTAATTGAATTCCAATGCCAAATGTCAAAAATGTTTGCCCATTATGTTCTTGGCCCATAGCTTGGGTGATTACTTCAATTTTAACGAGCATACTTTTCATTTTAATTTCCCTATTTTCTGATTGTGTGCTGGAATTTCCTGGAAACACTGAATTTGATGTCCTTTTTATTTTAATTGAATGATGATCTTAAACTGCATGGAAATTCATGCTGTAAGAGTGAATGACTTTAAACTTAAAGCTAATTATGGGTGATACATGTAATTGTTAAAATTGAACAGGAAACCTATTACCAAAAATGAACCCTCATTAGTCAGACCTTGATGTTGGTTCATAGTTTGTTAAATCTGTAAATGGATGTGAGTCTACCCAAGGAGAAAGCAAGTGTCCATGCTTGCCACGTCGGTGCCAAGTATCACCGGAATCTTTACTGGCCGAATGAGAATCATGTCCCAATTGTTGATTTAGAACTGTATCATGAGAGCGCACAATTCAATATGCAGAACAGAAACATTAGGAGACCAAACAAAGTTTGCATAGGTTGTTTTCCTGTATTCTCAAAATGTGTAGTATCTTCTGAGCTGCAACTTCAGAAGGTCAGTTGTTATGCACTTCTGTAAGACTTGTTTTAGCTTTAAAAAAGAATGCGTAAAAAGCAAGTGATACTACAGCACTTTTGGTTTCATTAATCAAAAGAAAGAAAATAGATAAAAAAACAGCTCTCCATTTTGCCAGAGGATGCTATTTCTTTGTCAATCCAAATACCATGAGATAGACACTGCCTGCTTCATTTGTTGGATTCCTAGCGGCTTCATAACCAAACCTTTTTTCTTCTTTTAATCAATGGCAGCATGTTAAGTGGCAATATCCATAGAAGGAAGCAGTGATTAAGTGGTCAGGGCACCGGTCAAGTGGACCAGACTGTTGATCCGTTTGACTGCTGGACTGTGGATTGTGACTGTGATACAAATTGATTTCTTTGCTGAATTATTTATTTATTTCTGTAATAAAAATAAAAAGGAATTTCTTTGTCTCACAAAGTTTGATAAAAAGAGTCCAATGTTTAAGAGGCTATTTCCAAAATGTGAGACAAGAAACTGCACTCTTAGTGCATTGCTGACTAGAGCCCTTAGGCCCCCCCCAAAAGTCTCTGGTTTCTGGTATGCGCGCGCGTCGGCAAAATAAAAAAAAAGAAAATTTCAATGTAAGATGATGTCTCAAAACTGCCAAACTCACTGGTTTGACTGGAATCCTGCTGCTGCACAATTTTAATGTGTTTTTAGATTGGGTTACGATCGAGTATAAGCTTTATGTGGCCTCTCTGGGCTCCAATACATTTTGCACTAAATTTAGTCGGGCACCATTTGCAGTCATCAGCTGACATTTGAAGGAAAAAAAGTGTAAAAAAAAACCTTTGCTGTCGACCATGCTACCTGCACCAATTTCTCCAGTACAACACCATGTGCTTGATTGAAAAGTGAAATGCCGTTCCAGGCCAGTGCCAACCGATTTTAAAATGCCAGGTGTGCGCAGAATAAAAGGGAAAAAATACAATAAGATTTGGAAACATCACGCATCCCTCATTTTTGCTTTAGTAGCATTCAATTTCAGCATGCCCACGACAAATACTCCAGTCGGCAAAACAAGTTAAACACAGTCAGTTGAGCGTAACATACTCCAGTATAGAAAGAGGAAATATAAACTTGATTGCTCGCTCACGTCCAGCCCCGGTACCGGTGCTTGGTCCCCCGCAGTCCATGAAAAGACCAACTCTCCTGGAAACTCACAAGAGTATTAAGTCATGACTGGCTAACTGTAGTGTGCACAGATTCAGCACGCAGATATGCATGCTAGTTTTTTTTTCTTTCTCTTTCAGGCGGTGGGGTATTGTCACACACCCAAACCCCACCATACAGGAAGTGCCACAACAAAAGGGGATGTCCAGGTCATTCCAGGACAAAAGACAAGCTTGATATGCTGTGTCGGCCCACTTCTCCCAGGCTGCCTATTCTGACGTGTCCCTATATGGACAGGTTGGCACGCAACAAAGAAAGTGCGAGGATAAAGTTCATCACTGTCTGAAAGTACAGCTAGTCCCTGTGTGACGGCAGGCAAAGTACGGTGCCTGCAGTAAAAAGTGCGGCTGCCCCAGGCCCGGCCCATCATACAAAAAGTGCAAACAACCGCTAGTAACCCATGTAGTCTTCTCAACATGATCCGCGCTGGCTCTCTTCTCTTTTTCCCCTCTCTCTTCTTTCTAGACTTTGGCCATGATGCATGTAGTCCTGCTAGGCTGGAAATGGCTGCCACAGTTGGTGCAGTGCGGAGAGAGAGCAAAAGACAGACTTAACACAGAGGGGAGAACAAGAATGAAAGAGAGTGAGTGAGCGAAAACTGAGCTTTCTGATTGTCTGGCGGGGACTGGCTTGAACAGTCCCTGGTGTTGCCAGGCACTGTGATGAGAACTAGAGAATGCCAGTGCACAGGAGGAGGTCTACTAACCTGACAATTCACCCCACTGCATGACTCCATTGTGTCCGACACGCAAGTTGGCGCTTGTGCCGTTGGACCCCTGAGGCTCTGTCAGTGTGTCTGGCAAACCAGGCAATTAGCTTCCTGGGGCAGACAGATCCCAGCCTAGCAGACAGTTGCAGTCTGACACCACACCACACATAGGTGTTTCACCCAGCTAGCAGGTCACACTAGGGTCAGAGTTCACAATTGACCCCTTGAGGCTTGACCCCACCTTAGCCCTATCTTATTCCTGCATGGCCCTGTCTAATCATCATCAACACCTATCTTATGAGTCCTACATGTACTATGGAGCCCTCACAGTGTTACTACAGCTCAACGCACCTGCTGACCTCTGTGGCCTTGCACTTGGCAACCATTTAGTGTTAATGAACTACCATGGTAGCCCGAGGATTGAACTTGAACTTCTGACGGGTCAAATCTGCATTGACCTCAGCACATGTAAATACACAAAGTACTTCCAGAGTCAATGAACCAATACAACCTTAATTCCGGCATGCAGTTGAAGGTGAAACAACTACTGGTGTGTGGTTCCAAAATAAATCAAAAAATTAATAATAATAAGAAAGAAATACAAAACGAATTACACAAAACAACAGCCACTAACGTTGAGAAATATAATTTATAGTTCCGGCAATTGCGGGAGGACTTGCATCCCTGTATAAATTATAATTGGAATTAATAGCATTGTGCACAATTGCAGGTTTGCTCAGTGATTTAGACCAAGATTGTCAGGGAGAGCAAATAGAAAAATCAATATCCTGACAGCAGGTGTGCGTGGACAACCTGCCACTGTGTGTTTTTAAAATTGGCTGAATTAATAACAAAAGGCAGTTGTTTGATTAAAATATACATGTACATGTACATACCTCAACTACTGTCAAAGATACAATTATTTTAATGTTGTGTGAAGATTTGACAACAAAACTCAATGTGATGCTGCGAATTAGTTACATTTTGCCTGCCACTTATTAAACTGACACCGACCATGGAGGACTAAAAAAATACATTCCTCTATGCACCAACAGAGGACCCGAACCTTTCCAACAAAGCAAACAGTAAGGTTTATCATATGAATGCAGATGGCTGGGGGCTGTCCAATCTCACAGTTTTGATATGGCTTACAAATTTGCCCACGTACACATGTTCAGTTTGATAGGTATAGACAAGGACATGGCTCTGATGGCCCAGAGCACTTTTACCTCAGGAAGTCTTTTTATCAAGAATTAACACAAGGAACATCCCCTACTTCCTCTTACTAGGCTAATCCACAACAAATTCTGACTCTCCTTGTCCAACCTTGAACTACTGAACGAGGTACAAATCGATAGGGTATAGGTTGATCACATTTTAATCCCGTCTCTTTTTGTTCCTGTCACCGGGGATGCATGCACGATGCTTTTATAAAGTCCTTTAATACAGGTTGCCCCCTTTTAATGAAGTGGTTTGGTCCTTTCATGCAACTCCCTAATGCAATTAGTTCTTTTGAGACCTTCCAACTGTGTGGCACAAGGGGTAATTTTTTCTTAACAGACTAGTTAATATTTTTCTTAAAGGGAATATACAACATTTGAAAACATCAAAAACAAAACTACCAAATTATTTTGAAATACCCTACTAGATTGTTAGTGAATGACAGTCTAAAGCATCCTGTAAAATCATGGCACCTGCCTGGTGTGCAGTCATTTCATGAAAAGTGGTATTTTTGTTTCAACTTCCTAAACTGTTTTTTTTTCTTCAAATACTGCCCCCAGTTTACCATATTTAGTGAGTCCGTATTGTGTTTGCAATTGATTACACACAGCTAGACTGGTTCCCTGACCTTAATATTCCCGGACGTCCATAAAATTGCTCCGTTTCATCTTAAGTGGGGTCAGGGAACCAGACTACAGGAACATGATTGTTTTTCTAGATTTTTCCAGCATCTACAAACACAAAACTTCAAACAAGTCAGTGTAACAAAATTTGCTATAAAATACTAACCCCAAAATCCATCCATATCTGAAAATTACAGCAAAAAGCAAATGTTGTATATCCTTTAAACACCCGGGTCCAATTTTTCCTGAGCACACAATTTTCTGTTAACACTAACAGAGCCTCTGTCTATTTCATGGAGACTGTAAGCAGTAAGCACAGCAAAAGGCACGCTTAACCACAAGAGGACAAAGTTGCTTAAATCAGTGACGTAACAACAGAAATCTCCATGCGTGTGCAAGCGTAAGCACATCCATGCCATGAAATAATGCTTAAAATTAAGGTGAGCACCATTTTCTTCTGACTGTTAAGCAGTGCCATGAAATTGGCCCCTACAATGACATTTGCTTCCACCTGGATGTGCTCAACGAATGAACAACGGCAGGTTTTATGTCAATTGAAGAACAAAATATTGTAAGTTTTAATGTGGAATTCTTAGAATCTCTTTCATTAGGCCTACATTTTACTGTAACTTGTTTTTGACAGAGATTTAAATTTCAAGACAGTGCTACATTTAATCTAGTCAATTACATGTACCTCCAAAGCCAAGAAAAAACAAATGATATACCTCAAACTACCGGTATTTAACATACATAACATTTGTAGGAAGCTTTTTGTGACTATGGAGTTCCATTCAGAATGAGATGTTTTCATGTAAATACCAATTTCCGTATGTGATCTGGTGCATCCCAGATCAGGCGCGGATTGGGGGGGGGGGGGTTGGAAAAAAACAAACCTGTCTCCAATTGTTTTGTTTTTTTCATGGAAACTCCTGACAAATAATGTGAACCCCCATTGCTCTGACACCCAAAATTCGGACAAATCCAGCTTGGTTAGGCAAAAAAAAAAAAATAAGTCGGTCTCTGGTCAGCGCGCGTCGATTTTAAGCATGCGCGTCGATCTTTTTTTTTTCATAAATGTTCCGCGGTAGCTCCAACAGCGCCCTCTATTTTCGCACCTCCTCAATTTTTTTTACCAAAGAGCACCAAGGAATGGGAAACTGCACCAAGGCAAATGATCGAAAGCACCAAGGCAAATTATGGAGGCCACTAATGTACATGAGGACACCAAAAAAGCAAAATAGTACCCACCTTGTCTGTACAATCCAAGCTGAAGAAAAAAAAAAAAAGAAAAAAAAAAAAAAAAAAAAAGCCGCGTGGCCGCGTCAATTCCGGAACTTTGGTCTGACCAGAGACCGAATATATATTTTTTTTGGCCTTATGGGGGTATTTCTACAGATACCGGTATATAGTGTTAACGATCGTCGGATTTGTACAGCGTCCCCATTGAAAGTATGGTACGATTTTACGGAAAAAAACCTGTCTACATTTCAGCACTGATTTGCTGATAACCCCCCCCCCCTGCAAAAATTCCTAGATCCCTACCAATGCTTAGAAACTTATGTCAGATGTTATCCCGAGGCATGTGCTCTTTGGAGGAACACAGAGGATAAATCTTAATAATTCCAACATTTTTCAGCACTTTCCAAACGTCTTTTTGTTCAGTGCTAGTAGGCATTACCTATTTTGTAAAGGGGAAATTGCAAGCAATTTTGGGTTCAATGCACTCTGTCACTGAAGCCCCCCCCCCCCACCCCCTCCCCCCATCCCCAACTATCACAAATGGAAACTGACCTGGATGGAGGGTGTAAGCACCAGTTGTCTAGGGAGGGGAATGAGGGAGGAAGGGGTGTTTCCTTAATAGCTGAGGGGCCCTTGTTGAATACATTGTACCAGATTATTGGGTAGGGGAAACCCTGTTGATTTGTAAGGAGATAGTTTAAGTGATGCTGAGGGGCAGGCATCTCTGGTCCCGCTAGGGTCTCCGTCATATAAGTGGGGTCAACTTGCACTTTATTACCATTCAGCTCCCGACGAAGAGGAAAAATAGCCATGCAAAATAGTCCCTAAAAACACGATTTCCCTTCGGGATCCTCCATTGCCGTGAAGGGAGGTCCAATCGTTTTTTAGGCATAATTTCAAAAAATAAATATAAAAATTGCAATATATTTCTTTACATTTTTATTTTGTGAAATTCACAGAAGCAATAATAAACAAAGGAGACCATCTTTTAAGTCTTTGTAAAAGGCACACAATTCTTGGAAACCTCTTTTAGTGTTTTACCCACCCAAGTCCAAGGTAAATGGACTGACCCAATGTACTTTACATTCTTCAGAAGCTTTAGGCCTGTATATAATGCATATTATATTATTTTACCCCAGGGGTGTGAATTAATATGTTCGAACTTTCGACTGCTCCCTGCTCCGAGTTTAAGTTCTCGGCATGAAAGGAGTCCTTAGGGGCAAAGGGACTTGCCAGTGTGCCACGACACAACTGTATCCATTAATAGAGAGACAGGGGCAAAAAGAAACAGCGTAGAGAGACAGGGGCAAAAAGAACCGCTGTTTGTTATCTTTAATGGCTGAAGTGCCACCGTGGGTTTTGGGGAAATTGAAAGAAAATTGGTTGGATTGAACTGGAGGAGTTGGGTATGAATATAATCACAACAACACATTGTGAATGGTTTCTCACGGCAATGGCTTGTTTTCAAAACTGGATGAATTTGAAGTTGTTTTTTTTTTATTTAAAGAAAATTAACGGGGTCAGCAGAAGTCAAAACAATCTTGTGTGTGCCACTTGTAGGCTCATCAAGTTCTCCACAAAGTAAATTACTGAAAAACAAAAGTTTGTTTGGAGCCACAGGGACTTTAAAGTGATTTGACTGCCTACTGAAACACTACGGATACCTTTTTTTTGTTGAAGGGCAATTTTGTCAAACTTAGAAAGTGTATCCCGTCACAAATACTGTTGATATATTAATTAGAGTAGGGCCATATTTTGGTATTTTTCTTTTAATTTAGCGTAATCTCTGTTGAGCAGTT